CACTAAAACCAGGAACTTAATCAGTGATCTTTATATACATCATTATAATTATTATAACTTTAGGCACTGGACTTGAGCTTTAAAAAGTTACTAAAATTATTAACCATTAATAATTTATAATTACTATGATTACATTAAATTATTATCGCTATTACTGCACTTTTCAAATTACTGTGATCAGTGATTTTCATTTATCACGCACCACACAGAAATCTGAATATCGGGGAGTTTAAAATTGAATATAAATACCAAAATAATTATAAATATGAAACTAATTAAACTTCTGTCATTCTTTTCCAAATTAGTAAATTTATGTTAGATAAAAAAAAAATACAAACCTTCGATATTATTGTGGCATCTGCTTTGGGTGTCAAAAATGGTTGTACTGTGCAGTTGATTTGCACAATGATTCTTGCAGTTGTAAGCTTTTTCAAGTACCAACAAGAAAAAACAGAACAGATTTAGATAAACAAGTGTATACATGCTGTTTTGAACCTACCTGGAAAATACCCAAATTCAAATATATTCATAGATGTGTTATGAAATTCAATTACAGAATAAATTTGAAAGAACCTTTTCAGCTTTCTCTTTGTGGCCATTGCAATAATGTTTTAAATTGATTGAAATCTATAGATAAAAAAAAAAGCAATAAAAATAACAACTAAACCAGATGAACTGGACAATGTAACTTTATTTTTTTTATATTATATATATTTTATTTAGTATTGTATTTACCTATTATTTACTTTCACTTTTATTTTAAAAGAGGTGATTGAATCACCTTCCTCACCAATGCCTATTGCAGTAAGTGAAGATATAACAAACAAAGATGAATTAAGTAGTAATGTTGAACCTGAAGTTATAGTAGATTATAAGTTGTTTATAAAAATAGCAAATGGTGTTTTATTACCAAGTAGTTTAAAAATAAAAAAAAATAGTATACTAATGGATGATTAATTATAAAATCAAAATTCAACAAGAAATCCTTAATTTTTAAGTAGCATTTTTTAAGAAAAATAAAAATTTAAAAAAATCTGATAATTTCTGTGTGGTGTATAATTATCAAGTGATCACAGTAATTTGAAAAATGCAATAATTCAAGAGGTTCTATCATTGCAGGTACAAATATTTATAACAATAAGTATTTATATTTTAATTTACTATTTTACTATTAAATTTCTTATTACTTATTTTAATACCATTTTTGCCAAGATAATTTTTGAATAATTTGAGTATTTACTATAGTAAGTATAATTATATAACCAATATATATATTTTAAATATAAGATATTTAAATTGTTATATTTATATTATATCTTAATTTCACATTAATCTAATTCGAGTAGGTATATTAGAAATTATTTTAAATAACTTCAAGAGAAAATGAAACTTCAATCATATAAATTCTGAATAATTAAAGTCACATTTTCTTGGCATCACTATTTATTACTGTATTAATTAGCATGCTTTAAGAAAGTACAAAATAATATAAAAAATATTTATAGTCAGTTATTTAAAACAAAGATGTTTGCAAATCTTTGTTAGGGACTTTCAAAATTAATATATTTTAAGCAGATAAAAATCAAATTTAGAATTATGAATATCAAATTAAACAGTGCAATTGGCAATTTATGTTTATATAGTCTGTAATTATTATTTGGAACTCCTTATGTATTATACTTTTTGCATTAATTTAATCAAGTGAACTTGATATTATTTTGTTCCGCTCACTCCATTGATGCTTCTTTTATAAATACAAAACTTCACCCATAACTGAAATATAACATATCATTTATTATGACACTTCTCAAATTACTTTGACTAGCAAAATTCAAGTATAACATATCATTCATTACAACACTTCTCAAATTACTTTGACTAGCAAAATTCAAGTATTACACATATTTTTAGAATTCTAATTCCATTGTGATAAATAGAATTTACTGATTATAGTAATTTAAAAAATGCAGTAATATATATTTGTATTTAAAAATTAACAATTCATTCAATTCTGATCAACTCAATAACAGACAACTTAGTTTACCAACAATTAATTCAGATGTGGTCTATTTACTGATAATTAAAAAGTATATTTAATTGGAAGTTCACGAGTAAGCCAGAGAGTGATATGACTCAGATTACTATATAAATTTATTATAGTGCAAATGTGGCCTGTGCGAATCTAAAACTTTTTTTTATACTAAGTTAATCACTCTTCTAACTTAAGAGACTTTTGTAAAGCTTGTCAAAATGCATCTAA